TTTATTGTATTTATTTTTTTCCCCACTAGTAAAGATTGTCATTCTGAGCATGAGCAAATCTTAGCTACACCTCAGCTAGAGCAAATGAAGATGTTAATTTTGTAAGGTCTCCAAAAGTCAGAGACTGATTCTTCTGAGGGAAAGAGAGCTGTTCTGTCCCCCATGAGGAAAGTCTGTCAGGGGAGGCATGCTCTCTCAAGCGCAAGGAGTCATGCCCAATGGGAGGAACATCTAAGCACCTCCAAAGCAGACAGCCAGCTCTAGAGTGGCTGGAAACAGGCACAGTGACAGACCCATGTGACTTCCCCTCAGGAGCAGGAGGGGAACTGAAAGGCAAGATCAATGTGAGGGATGTTTGGATGCTCTTCAGGGAGAATGTGACACACATACTAAAAGCTGTAAACAGCAAAAGGAGGGACAGTTTTAAATGTGAGTCTCAGATCAGTTGTGCTAAGACAGCTAATACCAGTCTGAAATTTGCCCATCATTGAGCCCTGAGATAACAAGTTACACGCACAAGAATATAGAATTTTAAGGAACACTTACATGAAAGACAATGCAGTGTGATATTAAAGCTTACTAACCAAGAAAGTGTGAAGTCATGGAATTTAAAATGTCATAGCCGATAACCATGTGTTTCAGTTTCGAAGGGGAGTCAAAATTTACACTGATCATCTAGATACTTTAGCTTTTCAGATGTCCGCCTTTTCAGGGAGAGTTTGTCCACAGATCACCCACAAGGATGTTTAAAATGCATTCTGTGGATTGGAGATAAAGACTTTTGCAACAAGAAGCTCTCAGAGCATTAACAGCAGATGGGATTGAGCCACTTGGGCCCCAGAGGATAAAAGGCCTGGGAAAAAAAACAACAACCTGAAGATGTATTGGAAAAGGGGTTCACAATACTGAAAGCAGTTCGTTGTTTTTACCCATTGTATCCTGTAATGGGATTTACAGCCCTACAGAGAGGCAAAGTTAAGTGAGGGGTCCAGTCTTGGAGGAGATGGGCATGGAATGAAAAAGGCCACCTAAAAAGGCGATTCTTCTCCTTGGAGAGATGGAGAAATATTTCTTTCTCAAGAGTCTGAGAGTAGCAGGGGAAAGAGGGGGGAAGATTCAAAGCCATTTGGAAATGTGAAATAAGGCTTTTGAGGAAGTTCCCTCAGGAAAACAAGACATGAAAACTAGGGAGACAAAAAGTAGGATTCCATTAGGGGCATCCATTCTCTGTTAGGGTTTCCAGGAGAGATTCCAAGTCTTACTATGGGGAAGAATTAAAATTTGTCTTTAGAACCATTTTTAATCAGTAATCATACAAGACATCACAAAGAAGTTTGCTTGGGCAACTTTGTTCACAATACTATCTGTTTCAGCAAATCCTTAGTTCTTGATGATCCAATTGGAAACTTCTCACCTAAAATCCTGAGGCAGTTAAGGAGCAAATGTCCTCATACTGTGGATTAACTTGCTGATGGCATCTGTATTTATATATTAAATAAGGAAAAGAGAGGGGGAAATGACAGAAAGAAGCCAAAGTAAAATTTTGAAAGTAATGCAACTGTTTAATCTACAGGTATTTTCCAAGAGCTACGCTGGGAAAATGTTAGGTATTCTTACACCTCAAAACAGTCTGGCATTCCAGAACAACTTCAGAAATGTAGCAAGAATGATGGGATAAGTATTTTGCTGTTTGAAATCTTTAGTAAAAATAAAAGTGTAAATCATAAGAGCTTTGGTAGAAAATATTGGTCTATTTGCAATGTATACTGAATCATGACATAGTACAACAGTCCTGCTAATAAGTCTGTCACAAATTAACATCAGGAAGGAGTGTATTTGAATTGTAATAAGGAAATGAATTTAAAGATGCAGTATGTCAAAACCAAACCTGTGGGGTAAGGAATCTGAATTATATTTTTAGCTCAGAAATAGCATTACTTACCTGATCATTTTTCTAGTATTATGACCCTTTTTAATTGGCAAATGTGTAATATCTTAATAAGTAAATTTCATCTTTGATATTCCCAATATGGATTTAAAAAGCAGTTTGCCTTCTTAAATTCACAAGTAAAGCTGGTGGTAGCAATCTGTGATAACATACAGCCATTCGAAGACACATTATATTAAATTAAAGGAAACTATTGGGTCAGCTTCTTATTCAACAGGTATTACTGTACAATTTGGGCTGACTTACAACATTAACTGACTTGCAATATTAAAGTCAGGAAGGAAATGAGTTATTTTTCTAAACTTTGGACTGCAAATTAAACAGAAGTTTAACTGTTCTTTTCTGATCCAAAGCTGACCGATGGTCAAGGGGACACAGTACCACATCCCACCACCACCACCAAAGTCACAAGAAGCTCTGTAATATGTTTACTTGGGAAAGTGCTGTTCAGACCAAAGCATCTGTTTCTTAATGAGGTCATGTTTCTATTTTACCTAATTTTCCAGCTGGGATTAGGAAGGTACAAGAAGGTCTTGCTAGGGGTTGAAAAGTGAGTCAACAGCTCACTTGGGATCAGAATCTAGAATCACTGAGAAAGAGACCCGTTCGCTCCAAGAATTGGATGGTACGTGTCCCTTCCAACATGAAGCTTT